CCCAGAGCGCGCTGCCTGTCCTACTTTTCCCGGGGGCAAGGTAGGCCAGCCTGTCATCACTAGTGCGTTGCAGGTCTCCTGGTTGTTGGCCTACCTGACAGGCGCTTGGGTCCCCTGACCTTAGAAAAGCAACCCAGAACTTGCTTTGAGCCGAAAACACCTAAGAGAGCGTCCAGTGTGGTATCGAGTGCGGCCGTCACTCCAATTTGGTGAAATGCGTGGTTGCAGGGGTTCACGAAAATGGCTCGTTCTCGGAAACGAAGCCGAACACATTTTTTGGTTAACATTTTCGTTTAGGGAAGGGTTTAAGCTATCTTTTAAGCCCAGATTGGTCAAAATCGGTTGAGGATCTAGGAAATGGCGCTAATTTGAAAACTTCACTAAAGTTTTAAACTTATAAAAAGTTTTTGGACATAAAAACTTCAAAGACAATAAAGATTCAGTTTTCCATCGTTTTTCCAAATCTGGTCTCGGATTTGACCTACGACCAATGGTTGCTGAGATATCGCCCTCCAAAGTTGCGTTGTTTCAATATTTAGCAAAAAAGTAAATTGGCCATAGCCCAGCCCCTAGGGGGCCGGACCCCAAACCAGGTACCGATTATTTCATGGGACCATAGGGGTAACAAACCCTGAAAACGAGAACCGGATCGGAGCCCATGGTGGCTAAGGCCTGGTTGACTTCACATGGAATGTCCCTGCAGCCTTCTAGCTCTAGAACTCGAGATTTGAGGTCCTTTTAAAAAGGGTCCCCTTTATTTTTTCCGCCAGTGTAATTGATTTTTTTTGGCGTTCGCGCCTGTGTGCTAGGCACGCGCTGACACTGAGGGTAGCACGACATTTTGACGTGGTATCGTGGGTCTAGCGGGGTTTGCTTTGAGTCGCGTGGGGGTGCGATGGCCGTTGCAGATGTCTTTTTGGAAGGGTCGGCACAGGTCCCGAGGGGCTGTCGTGGTGGCCCCGATCAAAAAGATCTCACGGCTTTGTTTTCGGGATTGGAAGGACGCTACAGATCCTTGCTACCTATTGCTACAGATTAAAAATTATTTAGTCAAACAGTAAGCTGCAATATCCTAAGGCTACTATCTACTCAGGAATACATTTCCAACATCCCTGCACATCCAGAAGGGCCCATGAGACATGAGAGCCATGAGACTTTTAAAGTCTTGCTAAAAATTTGATAATTTGAGTCATTTTAGCTTAAATTTTGAATGAAAAAAAAAGACGGAAAAAATTATTTTTTATGCAATTTAAATTTTACCTTCCCAATTTTTTGACACATGTTGGAGGACCAAAAGATGAACTTAATAACAGGAAAAGTAGCGATATACATCGGCAACTTTGGCCCGTCCCGTACATTGAGAATCGTACGAATTTCGCCTATGTTTGACCCTGACGGGAATTAAACCTGAGTCTGGGGTTAAAATAAATGTCGTTTTCGTCATCAGCACCCTCAAAAACATCAGAAACAATGCAAAAACTCGAATAAAAAGAATGTTAAAAAAAAACCCCGCTGGGATTTGAACCCGGGTCCGAACTTCTCCGATTCGCTCGAAACTGGCACCATTGGTTTTTTCTCTTCGCCCCGATTCCAAAAATACCCCTACATGCCCTCCTAGCTGCATCCGTTGCCGAGATCCTCCTCGACCCCATGAAGACCATGATGCACCTGCAGCAGCGCCCCCGGGGCTCGGATCGGATTTGCTGCCACCGGGCGGTTCTTAGGGTCACCCAAGGAGGCTGCATACCAAATTTGGTCAAGATCGGACCACGGGAAGTCCTCGGACGGACGGACGGACGGACGGACGGACGGACGGACGGACGAACGAACGGACGCACAGCAGGGATCATACTATATGCCCGTCCCTCCGTCATTTTTTTACAAAAAATAAACGGGACGGGCCAAAAACAAATTTTCTCAAAAAAATTCAGTTGCATTTTTTGGGTTTTCAAGAAATAGTTGGAATTTTGTCACTTTTCGAGGTTTTCATTGGTGTAAATAATCCTTTCTGAGTGCGATAGGATAAAATAAGATCAAAAAGGATCAAAAGACGCAAAAATGCATGATGTAGGGTCAATTCGACGAAAATTCGATTTTTTCCATTTTTAACACTTTAAGGGAAAAAAATTTTAGGAGCATAACATTTTTTTTGTGGCAGGAAACTTCTTTTTGGTGACCCAAGCAATGAGTCCACTAAGTTTGGTCCAGATCCGAGACGTCGATTTAGGGGGTTGTGCGATTTGATAAAGAACTACCCGCTATACTGGACTTAAAATGCTTCTCTTTGTAAGGTCTTGACAGGCTTAAAATAATTTTTTGTGTGAGGTCTCGAGACATGAAGAGTTTGAACAACCTTCAACAACGCGTAAGGAAGCAATCGCACCAGTCAGTTTTTGGCCATTTTTCGTGTATTGCCCCCATAAAATGCAAGGGGCCGCTGTCGTCATCTTCCACTTCGTTGGAGGGTCCAAAGTAGGGTCTAACAAGAAAAAACTTACACCTCCAAAATCTTGGTAACGCCCAGGCACTCGTTTAAGGCTGAAAAAATCTTCCAATTTTTCAAGACAGTGTTAAGGGACAGTGATTCGACCACTGTGCGGCGAGGACAGCTGTCACGTGGCGAGGGCCGCGTAGCTCGGTGGAAGCGCCGCCCGTTCCAAACGCGCCGTGCGCCTGCATGCTCGGGACAGACGCTGCGCTGGGGAAAAGAGTTCGTGCCGTACAACAGTGAACTCCGAGCCGTTGTCCAGCAGGGAGCGGAACTTCCGGGCGTTCAGGAGCCCGTCGGCAAACCACGTGAAACGGAGGGGCTGGCCGGGGCTAGGCGCGCTGGAGCTGCTGGGTGCCACGTTGCCGGGCCGTTGTGCTGCTTGGGCGGTGGAGGCGAGGGAAGCCGGTGGTGTCGCGCCCGCGGCGCGGCTACTTTTCGTTCCCCGAACGGCGCACTGTGGGCGAAATGTCCGCTTACGAGAAGAAAAGGTCCGAATTTCAAATATTTTTCTTACGTGTCCAAACACATCTACCTGACAGAAAAATGCCTGCTGAATCTAAATCTGCCCTTTATTTCCCCATCCGAGTCTTCGTTTTGCATGTGCGCCACGTCAAAGTCTGTGGTTGCGCTTTGCACGTTTTTTCACAATAACAACGCCTACGTTGGCAGACGTGTTTCTCCTGCACCGAAGCAGTAACAAGCAAAGCCAAGTACATCGTTTGAAAGGGCATCCTTCCGAGAATCTTACACTGTTTTCGGAAACGTACTTGGTTGAGAAATGGCAAAACTGCGTGTGTTTAAGGAAACTTTGTAAAAAAACATAAAAAATATTTTCGCATTGGGCGTAGAAAAAAGCCTGAGGTTACCCGGCGCCTGCTCTGCAAGCATTTGATAGATTACAGTGTACACTTCCAGAGGAAAAAAATTTGCTGCGCATAGCTGCGCAAACGGAAGTTACGTGGGTACGTTGGTACAGAGGTACGTGACTTTACATTCGTTGGCTACCAGTGTATAGGAGGGTTGAAAATCGCTACGACACTTACCGCGAGGAAGACAACATCCTGTCCTACCGGCCACAACGTGACGGGAATCATACAAAAATCTTTGGCTGCAGCTGTTTTTTCTATCAGTTTTGAAATAAACAAATGATATTCTGACAAACAGTATAAAGGGGCAAATGGTCTACGGACCAGTTATACTTGGGGACGAACAGTGTAGGATACCTATTGTCCCGGAACGAAATGGGGGGCACGAAAAATCCGGGGACTGATTTTCGAGGACTGATTGTCCTAGACCCCGTCATCTGGCCCCTGCATTTTAGGATTTCATTTCACATATTGTCAACTGTCAATAAAAGCTTGCGCCTTTTAATGCAGAGATTTTTACCCTGCACTAACAGTTATTGAGCTCACCGATGAACGCTTGCTTTACACATTTTCGCCTTCGCACGCAAATATAAGTGCAGTTTGAGATCCCCCACTGAATGCATCGGTTATCAAAAAATAATGACAGATTAAGTTTTTTTTACCCTTCAAGGATAACACGACCAAATACAACAGCTGCTACTTTCCACAACCTTTACCCCATTCCACAATTTTTATTGAAACATTTTATTTTTACATAATATCTTGTGCATTTATTTTTCAGTAATTTTGTTCGCCTGGGTGAGCACAACATCGAGACATCTCCTGATTGCCAATATGACCACGCAGCAAAAAGTACCTTTTGTGCAGACAAGGCCATTGATTACACGGTGGAAATGGAAATCGTCCATGAAGACTACAATCCCCGCAATGTTACCAATGACGTTCTGCTTATCCGGCTCTCGACTGACGTTGTTTATACAGGTAAACGGCATGCACTTGTGCACCATCTGTAAAAAGTAAAACTGTTAAGTTGGGAGGAGCACTCCGTTTATGAAATACCAAAGTATTTATTTTAAAAAAAATAGAGGAGGGGCATGTATAGTAATGTTTGCTGCCCGTCCTGACACTTGTTGAACAGTCCTTTTAAGAAGGCAATGGACAAAGATTGTCGAAGATCAGACCGCGGAAGTGTCCCGGAAGTGTGCGTACGCAGGGGAAACCTGACACATCACATCTTTTCGTCCATGGCGATGACTAAAACGAAAATATAATGGGTCTTGATAGGTCAAGTAGCATTTTTCATTTATTATCTCCAGCTGTTCCTTCATTGTTCAGCCTAATTTCAATAAAGATAGGATAAAACTATTTTAGTCATAAAAAAAATATATTCCTTCAAAAAGCTCGTGTTTGTTTTTTGAGTATTCAAAGAATGGCAACTTTTTGACACAATTTGCCCTATATTTTACTTTTAAGGTAGCTTTTTTACACGTTTTTGGTTTTTTTGACTTGAATTTGTTTAAACGAAGGAAAATTAACCATAAGGTTGACATTTTGTCCCAAATTTAAAAAAAAACGAATTTTTTTTTTGACAGACCTCTTTAAATTATTTGGTCAAACCAAAATTGGTGAAGATCCTTTTGATCGGATAAGGTTGCCAATGGATCAGAACAATTACATTTTATCAAAATAAGAGAAATTAAATTTGGGGCTCCGGATAATCTTGCATTAAATGCCCTGGCTATCGTAAATAGAGTGCTTTTCGTTGCACACCAACCAACAATTTTCAGCCAGTTATCGGAACGCAGAAAAAGGAACTTCAATTCACGTACTCGATTTTGATTTTGGCAAAGCTTGGCGGCATCAGGAATGCATGTTAATTTCCCATACCCATGTTGGTGCTAAGACCATCTTACGGTAAAGAATGACAGAAAAAGTAGCAATATACTTCGGCAACTTTGGCCCGTACCGCACATTTGGGAATGTTTGAACTTCGCATTTTTTAATCCTAACGGGTTTTTAACTGGAGTTTGACGTGAAAATAAATGTTATTTTCGTCATAAGTACTCTGAAAAACATAAACATCAATGCAAAAACTCGATTAAAAAGATTGTTCAACATTTACCGAACTGGGATTCGAAGCCAGGTTCATACTTCCCTGATTGACTTGAAACTGGCTCTATTCGTTTTGTCTCCCTCCATGCCCTTCTAGCTGTACCCGTTGCCAAAATTCTCCTCAATCCCATGTAGACCATGATGCACCAACAGCAGTGCACGGACAGACGCACGCACAGCATGCATCCATTAAATCCATCAAAAATACCCCATAACCTGAAGATGACGGTCTGACTGACAGACTGGCGATAATAACAGGAAAAGTAGCGATATACATCGGCAACTTTGGCCCGTCCCGTTCATCAGGGAATGTGCGAATTTCGCCTATGTTTAACCCTGACGGGATAAAAAGCTTAGTCTGGGGTCAAAATAAATGTTATTTTCGTCATCAGCGCCCCCAAAAATATCAGAAACAATGCAAAAATTTAAATTAAAAGAATGTCCAAAATATACCCCACTGGGATTTGAACCCGGGTCCAAACTTCTCCGATTCGCTTGAAACTGGCACCGTTGGTTTTGTTTCGTCGCCCCGATTCCAAAAATACCCCTACATGCCCTCCTAGCTGTATCCGTCAAGAACCTATGTAGCCCCAATCCGACTGATTCACTCACTCACTGACTCACTCACTCACTCACTCACTCACTCATAGAAATGTTTAGGGTCAAGGGGTGGTCGTAGAGACTTGCGGTTTTTTCCATTCGATTCCAAATTTAATGGGAAAATTGGAAAAAATCCGAAAAGTTCAAAATTCCTTACCGTTTCCGAGCAAACTTACTTAATCTTCAAAAAAAAGGACCGACCGACTGAAAATTTTTTTTTCGCCCTATCGGTAGGTCTGGTCGAGACATTTTCGAAACTGTGCCGCAATCGGGTCCCCGTCACCGGCAACATCCTAAAAACGCTATATAAAAAATATAACAAGGTAGGTTTACGCCAGACCGCGTCTTGTCGTAACAGGCTTCGCGATGTCTCGCTGCCTGTTCCTCCAATCCACGCCTGGCGTACCTACCTTGGCCTGCGGCGCTAGCCTGCCTGCGGCAGGCAATGGCTTGTCCATTGTCGGTTATTTTTCAACTTGTTGAATGCTGGGGGGCTCCGCCCCCCAGTCCCGCCTACATTCTAAATAGAGTTGTTGTATCTACAGATAACATGATCTTGACCCTTGTCACTTTTTAACTGGTCGAGGCTGGGGGGATCCGCCCCCCAGACCCCCCTTTCTCCAGGACATAAGTGATCTATCTGCAGAAAACTCGATTTTCGCCGTTTTTTAGGTGTTATTCGGCTATAAAAACTGAACCAGTTGAGCTAGGATAGTGAAATTTCGCGTGTGCCGAGCCAAGGACATACCTAAAAAGTGTGCAAAATCTCACCGAGATCGGCCGAGCCGTTCAGGAGGAGTAGTGCGGACACACAGACACACAGACAGACAGACAGACAGAAAAAACTTTTCAACCCCACTGAAGTAACAGGCTTCGCTATCGCTCAGCCAAAAAAAAGCCTAAATTCAACAAAATCCACTCAATCTTCAAAAAAGGGGACCGACCGACTGAAATTTTTTATTCGCCTTATCGGTAGGTCTGGTCGAGACATTTCCGAAACTGTGCCGCAATCGGGTCCCCGTCACCGGCAACATCCTCAAAACGATAAAATAGGCCTAAATTCAACAAAATCCACTCAATCTTCAAAAAAGGGGACCGACCGACTAAAATTTTTTATTCGCCTTATCGGTAGGTCTGGTCGAGACATTTCCGAAACTGTGCCGCAATCGGGTCCCCGTCACCGGCAACATCCTAAAAACGCTATATAAAAATATAAAAATAGGCCTAAATTCATCAAAATCCACTCAATCTTCAAAAAAAGGGACCGACCGACTAAAAATTTTTATTCGCCCCACCGGTAGGTCTGGTCGAGACATTTCCGAAACTGTGCCCCAATCGGGTCCCCGTCACCGGCAACACCCTCAAAACGATTAAATAGGCCTAAATTTAACAAAATCCACTCAATCTTCAAAAAAGGGGACCGACCGACTAAAAATTTTTATTCGCCCCATCGGTAGGTCTGGTCGAGACATTTCCGAAACTGTGCCCCAATCGGGTCCCCGTCACTGGCAACATCCTGAAAACGATAAAATAGGCCTAAATTTAACAAAATTCACTCAATTTTCAAAAAAGGGGACCGACCGACTGAAAATTTTTATTCGCCCTATCGGTAGGTCTGGTCGAGACATTTCCGAAACTGTGCCACAATCGGGTCTCCGTCACCGGCAACATCCTCAAAACGATAAAATAGGCCTAAATTCAACAAAATCCACTTTATCTTCAAAAAAGGGGACCGACCAACTCAAAATTTTTATTCGCCCTTTCGGTAGGTCTGGTCGAGACCTTTCCGAAACTGTGCCGCAATCGGGTCCCCGTCACCGGCAACGTCCTCAAAATCATCAATCATCAAGAACCTATATAGCCCCAATCCGACTGACTCACTCACTGACTGACTCACTCACTCACTCACTCACTCACTCACTCACTCATAGAAATGTTTGGGGTCAAGGAGTGGTCGTAGAGACATGCGGTTTTTTCCATTCGATTCCAAATTTTATGGGAAAATTGGGAAAAATCCCAAAAGTTGTAAATTCCTAACCGTTTTCGAGCAAACCTACTTAATATTCAAAAAAGCGGACCAAATTCCTCACAGTTTCCGAGCAAACCCACTCAATCATCGAAAAAGGGGACCGACCGACTAAAAATTTTTATTCGCCCCATCGGTAGGTCTGGTCGAGACATTTCCGAAACTGTGCCGCAATCGGGTCCCCGTCACCGGCAACATCCTAAAAACGCTATATAAAAATATAAAAATAGGCCTAAATTCATCAAAATCCACTCAATCTTCAAAAAAGGGGACCGACCGACTAAAAATTTTTATTCGCCCCATCGGTAGGTCTGGTCGAGACATTTCCGAAACTGTGCCCCAATCGGGTCCCCGTCACCGGCAACACCCTCAAAACGATTAAATAGGCCTAAATTCAACAAAATCCACTTAATCTTCAAAAAAGGGGACCGACCGACTGAAAATTTTTATTCGCCCTATCGGTAGGTCTGGTCGAGACATTTCCGAAACTATGCCGCAATCGGGTCCCCGTCACCGGCAACACCCTCAAAACGATTAAATAGGCCTAAATTCAACGAAATCCACTCAATCTTCCAAAAAGGGGACCGACCGACTGAAAATTTTTATTCGCCTTATCGGTAGGTCTGGTCGAGACATTTCCGAAACTGTGCCGCAATCGGGTCCCCGTCACCGGCAACACCCTCAAAACGATTAAATAGGCCTAAATTCAACAAAATCCACTCAATCTTCAAAAAAGGGGACCGACCGACTGAAAATTTTTATTCGCCCTATCGGTAGGTCTGGTCGAGACATTTCCGAAACTGTGCGTCAATCGGGTCCCCGTCACATGCAACATCCTCAAAACGATTAAATAGGCCTAAATTCAACAAAATCCACTCAATCTTCAAAAAAGGGGACCGACCGACTGAAAATTTTTATTCGCCCTATCGATAGGTCAAGTCGAGACATTTCTGAAACTATGCCGCAATCGGGTCCCCGTCACCGGCAACGTCCTCAAAAATATCAATCAAGAACCTTTAAAGCCCCTAAATCCGACTGAGTCCCTCACTCACTTTTTTTGGGGTCAAGGAATAGTCGTAGAGACTTAAGGTTCTTTCCATTCGATTCCAAATTTTATGGGAAAATGGGATAAAATCCCAACAGTTGAAAATTCCTCACCGTTTTCGAGCAAACCTACTCAATCTTCTAAAAAGGGGACCGACTGACTGAAAATTTTTATTCGCCCCATCGGTAGGTCTGGTCGAGAATTTCCGAAACTGTGCCGCAGTCGGGTCCCCGCCACCGGCAATGGGGTAAATAATCATCAATCATCAAGAGCCTATATAGCCCTAATCCGACTGACTGACTCACTGACGCACTCACTCACTCACTCACTCCTAGAAATGTTTAGGGTCAAGGGGTGGTCGTAGAGACTTCCATTCACCTCTATACTTGTCAAAGTAGTCTTCAATATTTTCCGGACCTTGTATGCACCCATTAACTGCCACAGTAGCCAAAGCAATACAAGCTATCTATTTGGGCAGTAAAAGTATAGCTTAATTATATGGTCGAAAGTTGTTAAATAGACCTTTCAAAGAAGCAGTACATTTACTTCCTTGGAAAATTTGCCTTTGGTCACCTTGGACGTACTGAAAATACTTCGGCACGCGCCCCACACATGCGGGGGTCTGGAAGCGGAGCCCCCAGCGAGCAGCGCGAGTCAAGAACCTATATAGCTCTAATCCGACTGACACTGACTGACTCACTCTCTCATAGAAATGTTTGGGGTCAAGGGGTGGTCGTAGAGACTTGCTGTTTTTTCCATTCACCTCTTTCCTTGTCAAAGCAGTCTTCAATATTTTCCGGACCTTGTATGCACCCATTGACTGCCACAGTAGCCAATGCAATACAAGCTATCTATTTGGACAGTAAAAGTAGCTTAATTATATGGTTAAAAGTTGTTAAATAGACCTTTCAAAGAAGCAGTACATTTACTTCCTTGGAAAATTTGCCTTTGGTCACCTTGGACGTACTGAAAATACTTCGGCACGCGCCCCACACACGCGGAGGTCTGGGGGCGGAGCCCCCAGCGAGCAGCGCGAGTACTGTTATATGCCCGTTCCTCCGTCATTTTTTTTTACAAGAAATACACCGGACGGGTTAAAAAATGCGAATGATTGATACACTGACGACAATTTGTTATTTCACTGAAATATGTTGATCTGATTGTTGAAATGCTAAAGAAGTCATTACACTCGGCCATTTTGTGCACCGGCAGATTTCATCAAACCTCTGTGTTTACCCGAAATTGAAGAGGTCCTGCCATTCCCTGAAGTTGGTGCGCTTCTTACCGTAGTAGGATGGGGAAGATCTCGGGAAGGTAAGTAACAATGTTTAAAGTGTATTTATTACCTGCGCTGCGAGGTCTATTTGGAGTCAGAGATAGTTTTTGCAAAATAAAGAAACCGAAAACGGGATCATTGGTTAGAGCGCTGGATTTACTAGGAAAAAATAATTACCAGGCAGACTCTTAGATTGTTTCAGAGTCTGCGTGGGTCTGGTTTCCCCTGGCCCGCGAAGGCTGCAGCGTTCACCCTTCGAAGCAGTGGTAAAGAAAAAGGTTCTGGAGCGCTCCTGTGTGAGAGCGCGTCAATAGAAGTGCTCCGATTGGGATAAATGGGAGACTTGGAGACGTTCACAAAAACGATTTTGCCTTTAACCACAGCGATTTTGGAGTCAAAGTTAATCAAAAAGTGGTGTCTCGGAAATCTACTGATTTTGCAGACTTTGGGCGGCCACTGTGTCCACTCTTATTGCCGTAAAAGGCCTCCCACCACGCCCTAGTACCCTTGTAAAAAAGAAAATATATGGAAGATATGTGTCAATATATGACTCCATGTGTTTCATGCATTGTCAATATAATTGTATCTTGCTTGATATATTTTAAATTATCTTCCGCAATAATTGGTTTTTATGTTGGGGATAAGACAGAAAAGCATATCAGAGCGATTCTCACGTTTCAGGATAGTTTTGACGTCTCTGATTTGCCGAAAGTGAGAAGTATCCAATTAAGTTTTTCTGATTATTGGGGTCCTGAATGATGCTAGTGTTATGGAAATGGTATTTGTAAAAAAGACCTTGTACTACCTTCCAAAAAACATGAGCTTTAAGGTATTCTCATACGTTTTCGCGGGTGTTTTGATCACGAAAATTACGTCATCACGGAAGTTACGAAGTGTAGAAATCAGCTTAAACGGCTGACTCGGGCTGGCTGTGGCTTACAAGACGTTCCAGGGTCAAATGATACTCTAAGCCCGACATTGAAGCGGAAAATTTTTTCACCTAGTGCTGGTGCAACATTGGGTTAAGGGTGCTACGGAAGTTACGGGGAATTAGTGATACACGCCATTTTTTAACGCTCTAGCCCGCTTTGAGACTGGATAGCGCATCTTAGATTTCAACGACCCAAGCAATTATATCCCAGGGACTTCACTTTGATAGTGTTTGTAATGGAAAATTAAAAGTTTGGCTTAGGGAGAGGTCCAGAGCAGCCTTTTCGAAATTTGTGTAGCGAAATTAAATATGCGGTGGACATTTTTTGTTGCAGCGTAAGTACTTTTGAAAGAAGTCAGGCGTATTGGTCTTCGGTTCAAATTAGCTCGATACATGCCAGGCTTCGAATCCCCATCGACTGTTGGCAGCATTTTCGAACCACACCGCCATACTGAGGGCGGAAAGTTCGAGTATATTCTCTTGGGACAATCACGGAAGTTACATTTAGGATATTCCAAACGCTAGGCAGACCAATCCAACGCACGTGAACTTTTCGAAATTTGTGCGTTTAGTGGGAAATGGCCCTCCCTAACATCAGAAACAAACCCCATGTCGATATCTGCGCTCGTTTGCGCACAGTAGTCAGAAGAAACGAAACTTTCCCGAAACGTGAGATTAGCTCTTCAGATATCTGCAATGCTAACGGCGTTTTGTGCTACAAACTGGAAACCAGCGGTTCTAGACTAATTCGACCCCGCAGCAGACAAATCGCCCAGTTACTAAGCTTGATGTATCCATTTAAGTGGAGGTTCAACTAAAAATTGGGGCATTCCATGCCAGTCCGACCACTTTCGTAGGTCACTATCTCGGAATTCGATGCAACTTTTTTTCCAAGTAGTACTTCATGAGAAAACATGCTGTGCAAAATTTCAGGCCGATCGGACCAGTAGTTCCTGAGATATGGGCTTTTCAATTTTTGCCTAAACTATTGTTTGAGTGGTTTGGGTGAAATTGCAAGTTTCCACATTTTCCGTCCGCGCTATGTTGCTAATGGAGCTATGGCGTTTCTGAAGATGTTTTCTTGAAGGGAAAACTATAAGGATTCAGAATCTGTAATCGAATTTGAGATCCGAGTCCCAAAAAGGGGCTAAAAATGGCAAAAATCACAAAATTTTCGTTTTTTTACACAATTTTCAAACTTATAATTTCCCTATGTCCATATCGTAAAAACCAAAATCTAGTAGCGCAAAATGTAGATCAAGACGTGCCCTATCGAACTGCGAGACGAAAAATGGTGGGTATGGGTCTAACTTCAGAGCTACAGCCTCTCAAAAATTGTGTTTTAGACCTAAAATTCCAATTTTGCTAAACGTGGTCTGCAGTTACTTTCCTTCCGACCCATCCTAGGCCATGGGTTTTCCGAATTATGAACCAGAGCCTATTTATGACTATCGTAGAGCCCGAGAAGTCCCGAGGACAGGCCTGGTTTTGGGAAAAATGACCGGTAATCCTCCTAGCCCCTGCAGGTTGGGCAACTCACCCGGCGCAAGTGCGTCGAAACAAGTGTTGCCTACCGTCACACAGTAGGCGGAAACACCACTTTCGACGCGAAAAAGTCCAAATGTAAAAAGTTAAGTGAGTGATCAAAACTTTACCTAGGATGTTCAAAAAACTATGCAGAATTCGAATCCAGCATCGTTTTCCTGATAGAGAGCTTCATTTATCCTCAGGAAGGCTTGAAAGTCAAAGTTTCCATTTTTCTGTCAATTTGCCTTAAAATATAGTGGACTTTGTAATTAATTTGTGCCTTTCATTGTTCACGTAAAGAAAAACTGAGCACACGTGCGTCTAGAGCACTTTTTAGCGATTCCAAAACCGGTCTTGGATTGTATTTTTGCCAACAAATGACTTATCTGCAGCCATTTTAGTGGAAGGCGGCACAAAAATCGTGATATTTTAGTCTCATTGGGCGGCATTAAAAGCCCTACAGAGCCCCAACTCCGCACAAGGCTGAATCGAAAGAAAAAAGTGTCCCCTTCACGATGGGGCAAAAACTAGCCACTTTTAGCCACTGTGCCCTTTTAGGCAGCCTAATTTCTATCTGATAAACAGCGCAAAAAAGCAGTTATTCGACATTTCATCGCGCGCGCGCGCGCGGTGCTTCGCCTGGCTGTAAGTCTATCATTTCTCATTTAAACCTGTGGCATGCGCTGACATTGTTTGTTTGTCTTGTCAAACCGAATCCATTTCTATAAAGAAATTTTGATTTGGACAATTTTGAAAATTCACTCCAACCCCTTGGAATTATAAATAAGGCATTCCATTGGATTAAAAGACAGATTTCAATGAAGTTGTATTTAAAAGAATGAAAGACGTGTTTAACGACACTCAGAACCCACGGGTTCAAAATTTCAGGCTTGAAGTGCAAAAATAAGAGTTTTTCGCGTGGAAAGTGGTGTTTCCGCCCACTGTGCGTCAACGGGGGTAACTTGGGACACCAGGGGTAACTTGGGACAGTGTGCCCTGTACAGCTTGTTGGTGCTGCCATTCAGCGACGGGGGTTCCTAGCGTCAAACCCGTGGCAGGGTTTTGTTTCAGAGCCCTCAGGGCATGTACGGAAAGGTGGGAGAGGTGCATAACATCACAATTAGTATTTGAGAAACGAGAAACTAGATAATGGGGTTTTCGACAAAATTTGTCAATCATTGACAAGTTGACCCTAGTGCAAGGAGTGAAATGCAGATATGGCCGATTAGTCTCTCTAGGTTGTTAGATCATACACAGACAATAACGTTCGCAAAAGGGCGTTGATAATAGTTTCCCCTTCTTCGGCCCAGAATGCAATTTATCAAAAATCAAAATTTTACGGGGAAACTTGGGACAGTCTTTTCCTCATGTTTCCAGCAGTCCTAGCCTTCTAGGCGTTGACTGGTTCGGTCCCTGACATAACTTAAACTTCGGATTTTACGCTGATGATGGAATGAGATGCCTTGCTTTGCAGTTTTGTCTTCTGGTAATCCATATTTTGAAATTTTCAGAAAATGCTTGGATAATACCAGTAGAAAAGAGAGTTCCACGTAGAGCCCTAGATATAGTCCAATATCGGTCCTACGATAGTTCCTAGGTCTGAATTCTAAGTCTACATGTTGTGACTTAAATTTATTACATCCATTTACATCAATGGGTGCATGGGAATGTAGCTAATTACCTACTGTCTCAAGTTACCCCCGGTCATAGGGAAACTTGGGACACTCTTTCGAGACCGCTGGGAAACGATATAATCGAGGCAAATGAACCAGACAAGCATGAAATCATGGGGAAGGGGTCAAATTTTAACATAGTTAGGATCCATTGGTCTGGGTTGACAATCTTGCCCCTGGCGTTCAAAAAACGTGAAAAAGTGTCCCAAGTTACCCTTGTTGACGGAACATTCCAGGCGCTTGGCTTCGCAAACCTCTGCCTTGCGATGAACGAGGGTGCCCCCTTCCCCCAACCCATACACACACCTACACAGACATTCACCACCACTACCACGGGGTGTGCAACGATACCGAACAGTGAACGGTGCTACACTGTCCTTCGAAGTGTGGTACAGACTACAGATTGTGTGTGGTGGGTGCAAAACTGTGGTAACCCAAATTTACCACACGTGATGATGCCGTCAATACCTCTTAAAATCAGTGGTCAGCAAAGTACCACATAAAATTCATTCATTCACACAGCGGGTGGAAACTCCGTAGGGGCGGCTGGGACCAAGTCTCGAGCGGCTCGCCACGGCCCGGCCGCGGCTCGGTCGCGACCAGCAGAAGACACGACCGGGACGCACTGATACACATTTCAGCCTGCCTGCCTATTTTACGAACCTATTTCGAAAATCCGGGAATGCTAAGCCACAATTTAAAGTCCAAGGAATCCTCCTCAATCGTTATTTTTTCTATAAAAGCAGTTCTTGTGGGAAAATAACTCATTGAAACTTTTCCGGGGGACGGGAGAGGACCGACCCGTCACCACAAAACTGAACAAAACCCGTATTTAGAGACATCCCACTGCCCTACATGAAGCGTAGCGAAGTTTCGTTACACTTTTTTCTACTCAGTGCAATTGGTCAGCACTCACAAAGACTTACCCACAAGGAAATATCCACATTTGAACGACGAGCGTCCAGAATGGCGTCCAATAACCTTCGTACTTCCAAACCATTTTGATGATACAAATCACACTTATTTCTTGAAAAGATGCCTCCTACGCCACACTAAATTTCTTGCAGAATCTGATTCAAGTCGCGGATGCATAAATGGAGCCACAGATTATTGGATCGGACTCGATTAAGATGACGGTGAAGAGCAAAGCCATTCGAAGTGTTGTTTCGGCTCGCTGTCTGCTAGACCGGATGTTGTCGCGAGGATGGCAAATTCATAGTGCGGTTTGGATTTGTTTACATTTTCTCGTAGCAGACGTATGTGTGTGTGTGTGTCCGGTGTTCGCTGTGTTGTGCTCTGTGCTCTGTAATTCCTATTTTGCTATTTGATCAAGAGTTCTTCCCAGTGTACGTATTAAAGGAGGAAAACATTGGAAATGGCTTGTTTTAACAATGTATACCATCACCAGCCTTTGTTTCCAGGCTCCAAAATGAGTCAAGATCTATTTGCCGATGAAGAGGACAATGTAGATTTATTTGACACTACCGAGGATGCTGTCGAATTTAGTGGAATAAGTGGAAGTGGTACTTCGTCGTCGCCAGGTAGCCAGCAGTTACTTCAAACACCTGCTCCTACTCCAGCACCTGCTCCAGAACCAACCTCCTCCTCAAAACGTCAGGTATTATTTTCTTTTGTGTGTATTGTTTCTATATTTGATTGATTTTTTACTTATGCCTGAATCCCTTCGAATTCTGTTGGAGTATCCCTGCACTGTTTGTAAGAAGGTGCTCAAAACACTAAAAGGTTTCCAGGGGCACATTGCTCGTCATAGACCACTGAACCAGAGACCAGTACAACACGAGCATCGACAGTCAAAGCAGTTCCACCATCTAGTAAGGCACAGGTAAATCTCCATTAGAACTGCAGGAATCTAATAATTCCCATTTCCTAATCAGTTTTATTGTTTAGTCTTTCATAGTTTGCTTTTATTTTATTTGGATTGAATCCTTTCAGGCGGAAAAGCTTTATAATTGTACCGAGTGTAAGTCAAAATTAAAAACCAAAAGTGGGTTTGTGAGGCATTGTGCTGCCCATAAAATGAAAAGTGAGTGTTCATGAGTCTGCCTTTTAAATGAAAGATTCGGTTTAATTTATCTCATTTATTGTTTTATTGTTTACAGATGCTTTGAAACTTAGGCCAGCCCCTTCTGAATTTCTTTTGAGCTACCTTCCTGATATTATCAAGAAAATAATTTTGGCTTTTAAGGCTGAGCCAAGTGGTGGAAGCTCAAAAGCCTTGTTTCTGTCTCAGTTAATAGAAATGTCTGAAGATGACAAGTGGCTGAACTTTGTACAGGATTTAGGAAACTTCATATCTGGAATTGTGTTAGAAAAGCAGGCCAGAGTTTTACCTGCTAACCAGTACGAGGAAATGCAGAAGAAACTGAATTCCTATTTAAATGATAATATCGAGAACCTTGGGAACAAATTGAAGCAATTATGTCCAGTGGAAATTGATTGCTCCTTGGCTCAGCGCTTAGTGTTTCGAATTGCAACCAAACTGCTACAAGAAACACAGATATGGGCCATGCAAAAAATGAGACCCACTTTTACCGAAGAAGATTTAGTACTACAGCAAGAAATGAGTGAGTCTGAAGAGAAAAGCTTCTTGGGAGAAATAGGTGGCTTGCTAAGAAGTTTTTTTATGAAATCACTTCAGCAGTCCAACCAACAGAGTCAAATGCAGAACCAATGCATAAAAGAAACATTTGTTGATGGTCCTCATCCCATCAGTAGGTCTCAATTTCTGAAAAAAAAAACTAACTGGTTTTCTGGAGAAGATGAGTGCATTACAGTAAGTTACCATGCTGCCCACTTTTTTAAAAAAAATGAACTTGAAATAATACCAGCATCTGTGAATCCATGTAGCTCTGAGGAGGTAGTTGAAAATGTATTAGCTTTCCAAGAATTGTTGGACCACTGGTACCATTTGACAAAAGCCTACTTCTCAGAAGAAAATTCCCTTTTATTTCTGAGGAAGATAATAGCTTCATATGTCAAGTTGTCCGTTGTTTTTGAAGAGAAGAGAGGCAACAGATTAGAAGAAAAATCAGTGAGAGCATCCACAGCCCCACTCCGCACTCATCTTCAACACAATTTGTTGGAAAGGGAAGAAGAGGATGAAGATTTAATTTAGAAGATTCTTAATTCAATTAAAGAGCCAATACTGAAATATTTAATAAGCACATAAACATAATATTTGACATAGAAATAATTCCATTACTCTTTCTTAACTGACATGTTCAATCCTTTGACACAAATTGTATTATTATTTTAACATCTTGTAATAAAATGACTAAAAATTCTGACAAAATATTGTGTTATTTATATACAATTTCTAAAGCACACAACCCTAAGAAAGGATCAGGGGGCATACACTTTCATTCCTCATTCATTTGATCTTCTTGGTGCTTTTCTTGATTGTAAGGGAGTAGAATCCACTTCAAAATCTTTTCTCTTCGATACTGATGTATTTCCTTTCCGAGATGCCAGAGAAAGAGACCCTTGGGCATGTATGTTCATGCGATCATCATGAACATTTTTGAGAGTGGGGTTTCTATTGTCACCATGCTTTCTTCGTATTTTACCGAAGTACTGTTCCAATGGATCTTGATGAAAGACCCTTGCGCAGACAGATGGAGCTCCAACTACATCCAGCATGTACCGTATTGCGCCTGTGATTCCCTTCACAGTCACTTGCATGGCCCCCAAAGCTTGATGGCTTATAATCATACGGCTTCTTTCCTCATTAGTAAAAATCCCTGGTCTGTTGATAACTTCAGTCTTCCACTCTTCAAAGTAATTCAGAAATTCATCTTCTAAGAAATTAAGCCTTTCATCACTTGAGGATGTGAATGGAAATTTATCTGGATTATTCCCTTCCTTGGTCTCATCTCTTCCGTTCACACAATCAAAAAACCTATTCATTTTTCTAATGAATAGAACAAGTTCAGATGTGTCAAATGATTGTAATAACTCATGGCTTGACAGATCCTCAATGCAATTTCCTGTTGAGTTGCTGAAAACCTGAGTGGCCAGCAAGACAGTCATGCAACTAAAACTGGTTAGTTTTACATGTGCTTTAGTAAGTTTATGTCCTCTGAATTTTTGATCTTTGGTTGCTTCAAATAATGCCTCTATTACCTTCCAGGATAAGTACTGGTTGTTCTTCCATAATTTTCTTGTCTTCTTGTGTGCAAATGAATTTGCGAGGGCATTCCTTATAGCTTTCAATAAGTGTGGTGGGTCCAAGATGAAAAATAGTGGCCTTGACCCTCCAGCTAAATTCTTGGTGGCATAGCATTGACTCCACAATTTGTCAAGGCGTTCATGCATTAGAATGAATCTCCGATTAACAGAAGCACCATCAAATGTAAGAGTCAAAACTTTGATGTCAGATTCCTCTAGATGGTAAATTACTTCCCAGGTTCTATCGAAGAGCTGGCTGGCAGAAAGGTCATCCGTTGAAAAAATAGCCACCACATCTTTGACATCACTTGTGATGCCTTGGGCCATAAACACCAGCACTTTCTTTGCCAGTCTAGGCTTGTACGTTTTGCAGCTAATTTCATCCTGCATCCTCTTCAGTTCTTTTTCCACCCCGCTTAGTTTGGTATATCCAATGAGTTCTCCCGTTGACCGAGAAAAAACTAAGCCTGATCTAATATGCATCTCGTCAAACATAAGATTGACGTACCAGTGGTGATCTTCTCCTCCACATTTCATAATTTTTTCTTTGATTTGGTCTGTCAGTTCCTGCTGACAACCTTCTTGAGGCTCAATAAAGTGGCTGTAGTCAAATAGCCGTCTGCTAGAAGGCAATGTAAATATTTGACTTTCATTAATGAACTCGTACGCTGAGTCAGAGAGAGAATGTAAATACAGTGCCAAACGAATCAACATGGGGTGCCACCTCATTCCTCTTTTGTCGTTGAGAGACAAGATTTTCATCTGAGACACCCAGAACAGCCTCTGCAATGGAGTCATTTTATGCTGGTGCACCCTTAGTATAGAAGAAAGGTCATCATTCAGAACTTCATCAAGCTTTATTTGGAGAGAATCCAATCTTTTTTGTAAGCGATCAGCGCGCTTCTTTTCTTGCTTGTGCATATTTCGAAATTTGTTCTTCTTGGCTATAATTGCTTCTTTTGACAAGTCTACATCACGAAGCGTTGGACAGTCATCTGTTTCCTTCCTTCTTCTCAGCTTTTCTCTTTCAAATTTTTTAATTTGAGCTTGACAAGAGAAACAAATTTTACGGCCACCAGGGGAATTAATCAGATAGACACATTGTGCATTCCGAAAACATGGAGAGTCTACTGATGAGCTGTAATCCAAAAATCCTTTCGCTGATTCCCACATATCTTCATGTGAATCAATTCCTGCACAAACTTTGAATCCTTGAAGTCTTGTCACCAGCTCAAACAAATAATCAGCCAAACTGCCAATATTCTGGGGATCAGGAATGGTTTGACAATCAAAGACTACATTTTCTCTTGGAACAGGCATACCCTGCACAAACAAGCCAAGAGATCCATTGGTGTGGTCGTAGTAAATGCAGCTTTGGACAGCAGCATTTTTTGTGGTGTTGAGTTTCATCAGTCGCAAAACATTGTTTTCCAAAATTTCGGTCTGCCAACCTTTTGGCAGTAACAACTTTAAATTGTCCACTAAAGTTGAAACAAAGATCTGAAAAAAAAAAGATTATGATTTTTAATACAACAATATATAGATAAAAAATCTAAAATAATTGTAATGAGTAAATGAAAATCTCTCACATCAGGCTCCAAGGCTGATGGTTTTTCCTGAACTCCAGCATCAGGTTCTGAAGTTTCGGTTTCCTTGGTCTGATTAGTGTTTTCTTTGCTAAGAGTAGTTTCAGACTGTGTTGAAACATTAGAGTCTGATTCTGCCAGAGATGTGTCAAGGCCAGATGGAGAACTACCAGGAAATATCTGAAAGCAACCATTTATATAATTAATTGATCGTCAGTAAAGCAAATTAAAACAATCTACAAAATATTAAGAAGCACTCTTACCTTGGGGTCAACAGGAGGTTCATTCTGAATCCCAGCATCAGTAGTTTCTGAAGCCTTGGTATCTTTAATCTGTTTGGCACTAGTTTCACAGAGAGTAGTTTCACTCTGGCTTGAAAAATTAGAGTCTGATTCTGCCAGAGCTGTGACAAGAAGGCCAGATGCAGAACTGCCAGAAAATATCTGAAAGCATTTATTTGATTGATGATAATTATTAGTAAAGCAAATTAAAACAATATACTATAAATATTTAGAAACACTCTTACCCTAGAGTCAACAGGAGGATCATTCTGAATCCCTGCATCAATAGTTTCTGAAGCCTGGGTCTCTTTAGTCTGTTTGGCACTGGTTTCACATTGACTTGTTTCACTCTGACTTAAAATGTTTGAATCAGATTCAAACGGAGCTGTGATAGGAAGGCTAGGTGTAGAAAAATCAGGCGACATCTGGAATCAAATTTTTTCAGATAATTATAGAACTTACATTTCCGTAAATAGACAGAGCTGAAGATTTAGTATTTTGATTTAGTACTATGCAAAAAACAACTTACACCAATGTCAAAGTCTGACCAGTCCACACCTTCAAACACAGAGGGCTCAGTAATTTTTTCTTTACTTTCAGTGTTTGCTTGATTAGGTTCATCATTACTCTCGATAATTTTTTCTGTACTTTTAGTGTTTGCTTGATTTGGTTCATCATTACTCTCACTTTCAATCTCACTTTCACTTGTCATTCTATCTTCAATATTTATAAAACCAATCTAATGAGAATAAAGGGAGCATTAGTTCAGAGTAAATAGCACAAGATGCATAAAAGAATGATGAAAGAACGAATATGAACTTACTGTTCTGGGAGGCCGTTTTCTTTCACGTGATAAGAATGTTCTCCTTCTCTTTTTCTTTGGTACATTTAATTCAACCACATCAACCTGAAAATAAAACGATAATTTAATAATATATCAGCATTTCAAATATATTTCATTACAATCTCAATCATGAAATGAACTGGCTTACATCTTCATCACTCGAGTCTACTTGAAACTCTGATGCAGTAGTAGAAAAGTCTTCTTCAGAAGCTGAACAAAGGAGGTGAGCTTCACCAAGAGGCCTGCTACATTTTGTGGCATTCAGACTAGGATTCTGTCAAAAAAAAGAATAGAAGATGTCACATAAGTTCACACGAATATACTGGCAAGAGCTTTAAGTGAAA